TTTTTATTTCTGTGTAGCTATTGAACTGCAATCATTTTGCATTTTTCATCTCACTTTTAATTCGTTCTATTCAATTTGCGAACAAAGTTGATTACAATTCAATTAGCGTTTGTAGCAAGTTCTTTGCAATTGTGTGGCCAAAACACAATCAGGTTGTGGAAGATGCCTACAATTACGAGCTCCGACCGGAACCGGATTGCCATGTATGCAATTAGCCATCAAAGTGTAGTGGGCAAACACTCGCGGCCGTCTTGCCAGACATTGGCCTTGATTAATGGCCCCAAAACATAATTGCCCACACATAATGCACCCTCGAGACAGGAACAATTGCCACTTAGGCCTGCGAGAATGGACTGGAAGGCACTCGTTCTCTTTCTCGAGGGTCTCGGGCACTTAACCCAAACATGTTTTCGGTTTTCGGTTTCCAGCCCTTGGACTCGGTCTCGGTCTTGGTCTGTGCTCTTCGCCTAATGCCTAATCAAAACATAAACAATCCGAGACCTGACTGGCAATTTAATTAATGAAAAGCCAAAACACTTGAACATCTCTCCGTCGGTCGAAGGTCCTTTGCCCTGACTTATGCTGAGTGACTTCTGCGGTAGCCCGAACCGGCCCGAGTTGGCTCCTGAAGTGTGTACAATTTGGCTAATAATATATACAATGTGTCTGATTTGAAGAGGTGACAGGATGGGTTTATTAGTCCCTGATTTAGTCCAATATTTTCCAAAATAAAAAGATTCCCAACCACTTCCTAATCTGTCCCCCAACCACTCACGTGTTAGCCTCTAATCAATTTGTGTTGCCGGTTTCATCGCTTTAATTACTGGTCATTAATCATAATTGAAACGGGAGGCGTGCAAACAAAAGCCCACAAAGAATTTTCCGGCAAGGCCAAAGTTCTCTGTTACTGACCGCCTTCTTATGCAAATTTCTCTGGTCAAACTTTTTCAAGCTGACTGTGCAAAAGGATGGCGGCAGATGACGGTTAACGATGCGAGTGCCAAGAGCAGGCCGCAGCTGATCCAGTTGATTGAAGCAGCCAAGGCTCGGGGCTTAAATTCGCAATTATGTCGTTTTAATAAACAGCGCCCGACCAGCCATAATTGCCCAGATGCTGGGCGAGTCCCTGGGTGAAGTATATGCCGGCTACAGCAGGAGCTGTAACTGAGCCCCGAGAAACTCAAGCCGAAACGATTGAGCCTGCCTATCAATAATGTGCGTGACACAATGTTGCCAAAGGCTCTGTCTCTCGTTCCTTTCGCTCTGTTCGGCCGTCCCACGCGGCGTATACGCAATGCGGCATGAGATGGATAGCAGGATCAAATGGTATTTCCCAGCATGTTAAGTGGATTGTTTACGTCTCCTAGTGGGCGTGCACAGGCGGTACGTTTATATGTGGTGCGTGACAATTACGCCAAGGTGGAAAACGAAAACAACAACGAAAACTCAACTTAATTGCAGGCATTAATTATGCGCAAAATTAAAATATATTGTGCAGTGTTCTTAATGGCGGTTGTTATTACTATTAGCCTTAACCGAAAATGCAATTCGAATTAATTTTTGTTCGCATTCAAGCTGGCTTAATTAGTTTTTCATGATTCGCACAAGCTATTGATTATATGTCGATACTGAATTATAAAGTGCAGTATCCCCAGCCAACGTGAAGTCAGTAATTAATCTTCTTTCAAGCGACCGCAGGCAGTGCAACAAGAGTTGATTTTAATGAAATTATACCCAGCTGAATGGGAATGCAGTTCGGTTCTCCCTTTCGGTTCGATCCAATCTGATCCGTGCTTCTGGCATTTTCAATATGCTCGTTTATTAACGCACGAATATTGCACCAAGCTAATTAAGCTTTAAATTATTTTACGGCTTAAGGCCATAACATCTATAATTTTAATGAAAGCTTCTGCGTTAAATGGAATTCATAAAGGGATTTTATTAAAATTCAAGGACATTGAACGATTAAGGAAAAATGAGTTGCTAAAAATGAAAATTATTCAATATGATTGTAAGCTTATAAGCGAAAAAGTCCTTTCCATAAATAGTCATCTATAATAGTCCAGACACAAGTTTCTGGTATTGAATATCCGAAAATGACATCCCCAGTACTATATGATTTGAAAATGGAAACCGGAATGGTTTCCTTTGCGTTCGTATGGCACAAAGGGATAATGTGAATTATTTGCCGTCTGTCGGAGTCTCTGCTGCCACTGCTTCTCAATTATTATTGCGTATTATTTATTTATGCAATATTCCGAATGCGTTTCTGGCAACAAGCTGTTGCACTGTTGTGAGTCGCTCATCTGGCAAATAAATGCAATTTTATGAATCAAAGGGTCTCAGTAGTCTGGCCGAAACAGCGGGGAAATTGAATTCTCATTGTGTGGCAAGGCCCGGGGCATTGTGAAATTGACTTTCAAGTTGGGAATCTGCTTGGGTAAATTTGACATCATAAATCAACAAGGCTAGATTGGAGCGGAAGGTGGATAATCAGGAAAAGATTTCAGTCCCCGTCAGTCCCTGTGGCCCGCTTTAAACTCGACTTATCGGGGTCTGCAAATCCTTGCGATTCCCCATTAGCCGTGCCAACTAATTAACATAAGTAATTTGCTTAATGGCCTTTCAAAAACAACCCTCGCTACCCTCTCCCGAAAAATGCTCCAACTTCTTGGATACCTGTTTGGCCTCGTTTGTCAGATCCCAAAAAGAAGGAAAATGGCAAACAAATAATGGAATAGACAGGGCGAACAAACACAAGAAGGGAAACAAACAAAGACACATGCAACTGAAACTGAGAAATCCCTGGCTTACCTGATGGATTTCCCAATGGCGGGCATGAACTAATATTTTGTAAATAAAAACCTGGCGCTTCGTTTTGTCGACTTTGTGTTGATGTTGGTGGTGCCTGTGTGTTCCACTGATAGCGCTCGGGGACGGAAATTAAATTTGGCCACGTTAATTGCCTCGATTAGCACTTTTCGGCCATTACGATAAGCGTGGGCAGCAATGGGAAGCCTAGACAATGGGAAAATGACAAACCCAGCTGCTGACCTCTCGGCCCGAAATGATGAGCTAGCCGTAGTGATTAATTATTAATTAATTAAACGCTTATTAGCGCTTGCTGCCAGGCAGTCAGCCAGTAGCGTTTTGTGAGTTTTGTAGGGCCTACCAGGCGTATGCGCAATGTACCTAGCCAAGTAGTGCCTACAAAGAGCACAAAAATAAACACTAGTCCCAGACTCTGACGCAATCCTGGCAGACAATAGTTTACTTTATATTTCCGCGATGCCTGCTGGCGTTTTCTACTCCATTGTTGTGGATTGTCGCCTTTGATTTGAGCGATCTGTTTGTTTCTAGCCGCCGCCGCCGCCACTGCTGCAGCCACCCCGGCGTATGTGCAATATTCCTGAACAATGCACCTCATACAAGCATGTGTGCCTTTGTGTGGGAGTGCAACAAACAGAGGAGCAGCAAACTGTCAACCATATTACGCATACGACCCATTGTACCAGGCATTCTTCTCCGTCCACAGTCGAGAGTCAATTTACAATAGATGAAAGAGCATCAGACACGGGAAAGTGTGTCAGCCAGCCAGGCTGGCAACTTTGCCTTAATTCTTAAAGCATACACCGTACCACGTAAAGCGCACCACGTGCCACATCCATGGCCATGACTCATTGCCATTCTATCCGTTTTGGCCATTTTGGCAGCGGAAACACCAGCAGTAGCAGCGGCAGCGGCAGCGCCTTAGTTTCAGTGACGGCTGCTGTAATTAGTGTAAGTGCCCACATGAATTGTCCCGACATCTTTTGGCAGCACTCTCTTATTTTACTTTTCATGTTCAAGGATGCGAGCAGCATTTGTTGCAAATGCTAAGAAATAATTTTAAACAATTAGTAACGATGTGGTTGCTTTTTTCGAGAAGCACTCGCCGGGGCTTGTGTTCGAAATTTCTCGGAAGTTTTCATTTGTTTAAAGGAAATTTTCTGCCCAGCAACTTGACCTTTAAAAATTAATTAGCAATTATAGCATTATTTTGGCGAAGAGGAGCATTACGATTGTAATTAATTTCTGAGGCATACCAGGAAGTATTTAAATGTTCTTCAAAACACAACCGCAAAATATAATATAAATATTTTATCACTCTACTCATTTCGAGTCTTAAAAAAGAGTCTTTAAAGTGCGGCCCAGATCTTGGCCCGCCTTTTTCATGGACCATGGACCCTGGCAGTCAGTCAGCTTCCCTGGCAAACTGAGTTTTGTTTGGTTTCGGGCAATTAAGCCTGTTGTTTTGCAGTTAAGTGTAAATTTATACACAAAGGCCGCTCCCCTTCCCGCACCCGCACTCGGGTGCACATCTGTGTGCCTCCCTTTCGAAGGTAATTTGGCCAACTTTAAAGATAAAACTGCTGCATTCGCCCGGGAGCAGGCAGGCCAGAATCAGCAGCATCTGCGGCCTGGCACATGCTTCAAATCGCGCCATGAAACAGAATTATTAAATCAAGCGGTGTATGACTTTGTAATTTGATTAGCCATGCCCGGGGCTGAAGTGCCTGTGCATATCAGTAGCTACTTAACCGAGTTTGAGGAATTTCCCACTACTCACCTGGCAAGCACCCGGCAAGCACCTGGTAAGAGCACTCAAAGCACCCTCAAAGGGTGAAAGCGACAAAAACAAAAAATCACACACTCCCTGGCACACTCGCCGTGAAGGGCGTACATCACTTAGTGGACACTTGCCACTACAATGTCTGTTTTTATTTCTTCCTTGGTCAGGGTCAATACCCAAAGACAGAGTTCACAACTGCCGAGATTGGCCGAGTAATCACAATAACGCCCGCCTCCAGTGTATCTAAATATAAGTCTCTGACAAACACTCGCGATAACAAAGATCGTCCGCGAATGGGTGTTAAGGTGTTAGACTCGCGGGTCTGGTCTACCGTGGCGGTGGGATAAACAAAACAAGCCAAGAATATAGTATTGGTTTAAAGACTTACATATTCCCGGTCAACGACACACTCTCGCTTTCGTTGGATCTGATCGGATCGGATCTGCTTTCTTCTCGAGGCCTTTTGCATAAATTGTGTTTTCCAAAAAGTTGTCAAACAGGTGGCAAGTGTCGCACAAATTACTTTAATAATAGCACTCGCACGGCGTTTGGAAAATATCTGAGAAAACTGCACAAGTTTGTCCAAGCGCCTGGTCGGTCGGTGGCTATCTCTGGCTTCCCAATGTTTCGACTTCTGGCCTATTTACGCTCGAGCACTTTCCCATTCATATTCATTTGATTTTCCATCTGCAGACCCCGACAGATTTTGGCGGATATATTATTGAATTTTTTCTTTCCACACACTAATAGCATTGAATATTTTTGCTTATTTTTTATTCAAGTAGCCCAAGCACATTATTTTTCTGCTTGTATTTTCATTTGAATAATTCCTCAAAATATTTTCACTTGTTTATTTTTTCTTCGGCCAGTCGCTGGCAATTGGATTTTTCACGCACGTTTGAGTAAGGGGGGGCATTTGATATTTTACGATTGAAACTAAATATTTTTGTTTTTCATATTCAATGATAATTTCGATTTCGAGCGCGTTGAAACTGCGGGCACGACGCTTGATTTTTAAGACCCGCCCGTCCGCCTGTTCGCAGCTCGCTGCCCTGGTGCACGGTAAAAATTTAACTGGAAACGGGACCGAGCGACCTGCCGACCGACCTCCGAACACAACGGAACGGAAGGCAGCGAACAGCAGCCGAGCGGGCGGCTGATGGCGGAGAGAGTGCTCGGCCCCGTACCTGTGCGGCCTTAACAGCACTCTCTCCCACCATCACGCACACCAGTGCGGTCTGTTATCAGTGGCCAGTGTGTCAGTGGGTCTGTCGAGCAGTGATGCGCTCTCTCTCCCAGGTTGCTCTGCAAGAGGGGAAATTCAGCGGGTCGCCCCAGTAAGGAAGAGAGAGAGCCAGAGCCAGACAGTTCTGCTACTGTTAGCACCACCCACTGGGGGGGAAAATTATCGCATGCGAGAGGATATAGCTCCATGGAGAACGCTTGGAAAGTGAAACACTGCAAGCGACTTGGCTTATAATAAATATTTACTAAGCCTGTTTGATTGGGTAAATATTTCCTCTTAGCGATAAAAACACCACTTAAATTTGTAATAAATTTTTTTGCATTTAATTAGTGGAAAAGCTCATTATTGGTTTCTCCATGTACAACTTTCAAACAATAGTTTTGGTGAACATGGTTTTAGGTTGTCATCAAACAATGAAAGCTAAAAAGAAATATGTATTTAATAATGGGTAATTACACCACTGCTGGAAATGTGCTTAATCATATTGAATGATATGATTCTCTATCAAATGTAGAGAAAAATCGGTAGACATTGCAATTCATTTGCCAAAATGCTTAGTAAGCAATAAAAATAAAGCTCAATAATGCTTGTTTACCAATAAAAACTATCCCAACAGCCATTAAAACTGTACGCACTATTTATTTGTGTAACAAATTCAAATATACCGCCAAAACTAAAAATGTTACAAGTTAACAGTGGGAAGCTAGGGAAAAATAAAATTACAACGAGAGAGAGATATTCAGCAAATCTAACAGAGGAAAACTCAGGCAGGGGCTAACAGCATCGCATCAGGAAAAGCCAACAGATAAGAATGATGCGCTTCTAGGAGATTCTTGCCCGAAAACGTCATGGCAAAACCAGATGAAAATACCCTTCCAAAAGATTATTTTTAATGCCCCAATAATCACAATTCATCATCTGAGCACTCTGGGTAAACAGTTCCCACCGAGCCAATTATCGTCAGAGAAAACCCAATAGTCCGGCAACAAGTTTATGGACATGATAATAAGCAGTAATCAAAACAAAATAAATTAAAGCTTTATAAGCCAACATTAGCTGTCAGGCGGCCAAAGACCATAAATCGAAACAGGAGCACCGCAGTTCACTCGAATAAAATGCCAAAAATTATTATTATCTAAACAAAAGCTCATACGCCATCGCTCAAAAGCACTTTGCCGCCGAGATTCTGGGGATCGAGGAGGCTGGAACAGATGGCAGGGGGTGCCTACACCACCCAGCCCGCCCCGTCATCGGTTCTTTTAGGTTTTTCAAATTGAAAAACATGAAAAGAAATATTTCCAATCAATTGGCAAACAGAAAACGAATAAAAATTCATACACGAGAACAGAAGCGAACTGAACAGAACAGAAAAGAGCCGAACAGACACAGAAAAAAACCCAAAACCCACAATAAAACAAACGGCAACAAGAGCAATGTTGTTCATTCATTAAATACAAAAATTCATTAAACAGGCGGGCGATCAGAAATACATATCTTCAAGTGCAGTCCACACAAAAGTATGGTGGTGTAAAATATAAAAAAAGGAAAATTGTTGTTTACTTTCGAAACAGAAGCACCAACATGGCCATAACAACTACAACTACACACAAACATCGACGTAACAAGCTCTCGGAGTGCGATAAAATATGTTTTTTTAATGCAGGTCCGTGTTCAATAAAAGTGCCACAAATCCAAATAGAACGCCGAGGGGTGTGCCGAACTTTCCAGGCTCGACTAGTTCATACCAACAGCCAGTTCATAAAAAAAAATCTCTCCAAATTCCTTTGAAATAACTTCCTAGTCCTATATACCCATCGATTGACCCATCGGCAATGACCATTCGAAAGTGAAAAGTGAACAGACCAAAACGAAAGAAAAATGTTCGAACAAGGGCAGAAATTGAAAAGGAATTAAGGTGTGGATGAAAAATATGAATATGTGGGAAAACATTTACATCATTGCATTACTCAAAGTTAAATTTAAAAAAATCTTATTCCACAAAAAAAATATGTACCATAAAATGAACTCTTTCCTCAATTTCTCCTATAGAACGATTAAAAACCAAGCCATTTCCATGTTTTCTTAATGACCTCTGCATACCATTGACCCCTTGCTAAAAATAAAATTAAAGAAGCAAAGGCCAGTCAGAGTTGAAAGAAATTTATTGTTCAACTAATAGATGATGACTACTAGATATTTCGCTTTCAGAGTGCCACGGCAAAAGTGTCGAGTAATTTGTGCAAATGGTCAAGAGGCACAAAGGTGGTACGGGCCACGGATGTTCCCAGCCATTTCGAGTGGTTGGCCGCATTTATCACTTTGACCAATGGCCCTCTTCACTCTTGAGGCCACAGTCCCTATACGTCAAGGAATTGATAATGTCATGCCAGTCGTGTAAGTTACTGGCGATTGGCTGTCACTCAGTCGGCTGTTCCATTTTTACCTGCTTTACAATCCTCAACTCAATATTGAAATTATGGGGCGTGGGGGGATGTTATGGGAAACAATGATTGATCCAAAGGACGGGGGAAATCAGAAATCAACAATCGATGCCGAGGCGGAAGAGCTGTCAGATAGAGACAAAACAAATTCGCAAGTCAACTGGAAAAGAATCATAAATAAAATATGCGCGCCAAGCAAACACATCAGCAAACCCACGGAAACCCAAAACCCGGCAATCCCTACTGGGATGCAGCCAGTCGGAGGCGGAGGCGGTGGTGGGTTGTTTGAGGAGAATTCAATTTGATTTATGATAAATACATCATGATTTATGCCCTTTGCCCCGGCTTGTGTCCAGAGTCTAAGCCGCCGATACGCATCAGTTCAGCTGGCGACCGCAAAATCATCGTATTTTCGCATCGAGTTTTTTTCAATTTTTCATTTCGCTAAAACTCTTTTGGGTTTTCCGCGCGAGATGCCCAGCAGTCGTTTGGGAATATTGGGGGAAAATGGAATATTCAATGGGATGGAGATGACTGAAAAGATAAACAAGTGGGACATGCCAGATAGCAGCTCTTTAGAGGATATTTTGTATACTTACTTTCATTTATTGAAAAACAAATAATCAAGTTTTGGAACAAATTATATAGTTTTTGCCTCTTCACTTCATATTAAAAAATTTCCAGCCATGAGTAGCCTTTGTTCGTATATCTATCCTTTACAATTTATTACAAAGGACTTTGCTGTTTTCAATTTATTGCCGATTCGATTCAATTCGCTTTCCAAATTTTTTTTCGTGCATATAAATTGGCTGCGTCATGCGTTTAAAATTTTGCAGCATACTTTTGAGGGCGACTGTGTTCTGTGTTTGTTTCATTATTTGCATTTCGAGTTTGTGGTATACCGTGTGTTTGTTATTTATTTGGCTGAGAGTGTATAAGGTAAGCTGGTTTGTTTTTATTTTTGCCTTGTAAAGCATATTCTGGTAGTTAGGGCCATATTTCTAAATGATAAATGCCCCGGTTGGATGGCAAATTGTATTGATAATCGCTGCCAGAACTTTTGGCGCCTCTACAACGCTTATGGTGCTTAAATTTATGCTTGTTTTTATTGCCAACATGTATGTAGGACAATCTGTAAACTCCTCGTTCGCCGGTCCCTGTGCAAAGTATTTCGAAAACCAATTTTATGTCTGTATCCGGGCCCCTTGTTTCCAACTATTACAGTCACGCACTCGGCAAGCCAAAAGTAAAACAAAAACAAAAATTCAATTAACTTTTGCCTTTGGCACAAAGAAGGATACGCCGGCTTAGGAATAGGTTCGATGCGTAGCAGTTACTTAAAAACCCCTCTAATCCACACCCTTATCACATCTCTCATTTCAGCCTAATTAAATGGACATTTTGACAGCTGACGTGTGAGTTCGAGTCTATTTGTGTGGCCATGTCCCTTCCTACGGTTTTAATTTACTTCAAATTGAAGGTCGCATCAAGCTGACAATGTTAATTGAAACGCGGCCAGTGTGAGAACCAGTGTTGAAATATAAAAAAAGCTCCCAAAAGTCGAAAAAAACTGGCGGGCAATAAAATCACACTTTCGTATTACGTATACGCAACGTGTAGCGCGCGAGCTTGAGATGGTGACAGCGAAAATAAAACTTTATTGCTAATTTATTTGATTAAATTTCACGCCGGCACTGCTGCTCTGTCGTGGCTCTGAAATTTTCGTGAGTTCAAATGTATTTTTGTTACACTGGCTTATTTATTTTTTTTTACTTTTAGCTGTTGTTATTGTCGTCGTGTTGTCGGTGTGATCTGCTGACATTTGCTGACACCAGACTTCAGATTCAAAGTCCCTGATTCCCGGCAAATTGATACAAAAAACACACCCGGCCGGCTGGCTGGTTATCAGACGCCGGAGATCAAAGCAGGTGTTTTCGCGCCTCGTTTCGCTTTAAGATTTAAATTTCTTCCCAGCCTTCCGTTGACCTCCGAAGTCAAAGCAATTCAATTAGAACGCGAGTTGCCGCTGACAGGTATGGCAGACAACGCGGCGTATGATTAACATTTGGCTCAGTGGCCCGCTCAAAAGTATGCAAAGCAAGACGTG